AAAATATCTACACCTATATTCTGTCAACTAAAATTAGTATGCGATGGTGCTAGGGATAGTTTAGCAATACTTTCAGTTTGAGAAAATATAAAGTCCACATCTGAATAACGAATAGCTGTTGTTTTTTATTAGCGCAATGCTACACAACAGAATGTCTGCGACATCTCCACTCTGGGAAATCGAACCCCAGATTTTAGCATTGTAAGTCCATGAACTTACTGCTGATTTATCGTGGGACATAACGAATTACAATATCATGTGCATTGCAATTATTATACAGAATCACTGACATGAAGTATAGTTTTGATTATTATAAATGTGGGCTACATTGGCTCCACCTATTGAATAGCATAAGCTTTTCGTTACTTCCTTATGTAGAGTATAGGCTGATTACGATGTGTTTTGTTTTGTTGTTGTTTTTTCATTAAGAAGCTGAAAATGCATTATTTCATAATTTTAAGATAAGCAGAGATAACATGTAGACAATTTAGCTATTATGGGCAGCGAGCAATTTAACTTTTTTTTTAAAAAAAAGCGCTTTTTGCTATGATTTAAAAGTTTTAGTTTCGTTTGATCACTCCGAAACATGTAAGGAAACGTATTTTGTGTGTATTTTGTAAATATACATTAGAATTGTTTAGTTTATTTAAAGTCAAATTATTCTACGAAAACGATAAATTGGAGTGAAAAATACTCAAGTCCTGTTCAACATTGATTTACTTATGTCTAGTCATTTATTGGAATGTATATATCATTTGCACATAGTTCGAAGATGTTGTGAATGCTCAAAATATGATATTCAGTGATAAATAAAGTCTGTTGGAAAAAACAAAAATAAAAAAGCAAACTTGTTCACACACACACACACAAAAAGACTTAGTAACAAAAGTTTGTATGTGGCTCCATCTATTGAATAGCATAAACTTTTCGGTTCTTCCTTGTGTTGCGTACAGCCTGATTGCGAAGTTTTTCTTCAAGAAACTGAAAATGTATAGTTTCATAGCTTTAAGATAAGCAGAGATAAAAGTTGATTAACCGTTGTTATTTGTGCGAACAAAGCTGTTACCGAGCTTATCTTCTCTTTAGTGGTGAATGCACTTTAGCTGAAACCTATAACTTTAAAACTCTCAGTAGTATCAAGCCCGAGCTGCTGTATAGTAAACAAGTCATCTAAGATTCATGGGAAGTATTAATAGTAGTAGTTTCCAAAGCAATTACAGTATTTTTTTATTATTGTACATGCATGACCTCTACAAAACACATTTTTGTCCCGATACTTTGTATGTGTGTAAGTTAAACGACTACGGTCAAATAAAATAATTCATTTTGACCTTAGATTTTCGGAAACTTAGCTGTCTAATTCTGGTATATTCTTCGTTGATTTCTAGTAAGTACAAACATTCATATCATTTCCTCGGCCTGCTTCTTTTAGAACGTTTCGAGTATTTCATTCTCTCATCAGTAACCCTATAGGCTAGGTTAAAGTAAAGTACGTTTCACAATATTGTTTAATTAAAATAGTGAATTTTATACCAATAGGTAGCGTACTATGCCGAAAAGGTTCAGAGGAGAGGTATTGGTACACTTTTTTTTGCAGTTAAAGCTGTTGTAAGTCGTACTGTCGCTTCTTGGCAACCCTTTCCGATTTCTGACACTACAGGTTCCACTTCTATTTTATTGGTTATGAAATTGACATCACTAGCGTGCCAGCTCTTAATGGCTAACTTTTTACCGATCTGACGATTATCTAGATCAGGGGTTCCCAAACTTTCTCAGCATAAGACCCCAAATACATTCCACATCCTGACTGAGACCAAATGGATCTATAGAATCTTACGTTCATTACAAATAACACAGTTAAAATTTGTCATTTTGTATTTGTTGATTTAACTTTGCTTTTTAATATTTCACATGCAATTTTCTCTTGTTAAATATATTTGTATATTTGCTACGGCCCCTGGTTTGGTAACCCCTGATCTACGTCACTTATCTGTTACTCTACATTAACTTATTCCCTCTAGCTAAAAATGACAATGTTTAAATAATTCTAAAGTTAACTCGTATCTATTTTTCGTAGCAAACGCTCGTGCTATCTATGAATGAAATAACGATCCCACTGTTTACTTGGTACCACCTAGAGATTTATAAGAACTTCGTATGACACAAAAAATCACGAAATTAAAATTTAAGTGTGTGAGACTATAATTCCTATAATGGTGCGAGACCAGGAATGTAACTTTTTTGTTGTTGTTGGTCCTATAGTATGTAAGATTATAAACACAAAACTACACATTGAGATATCTGTATTATGCCCACCACGGGTATCGACGCAGCCTTATAAGCCTTCAGACTTACCGCTGACCCCAGTAGCTCAGAGGTATGTTTGAGGGCTCACAACGCTAAAAACCGGATTTCGATACTCGTGGTGGGCACAGCACAGATAGCCAGTTTTTTTTAGTTTCCTGTTTAACAACAAATAAACTTACCACTGTGCCATTGGGGACAATTATCTAGTGACACTGTAAAAAAGAAATGCAACGGGTTTTCTAATGGTTGGTGGTTCTATAAATTGTAGGTTTATTATTCCTCTAGTAATACTGTAGAATAAGAATGTAACGGTGTTCTAATGGTTGGTGGTTCTATAAATTGTAGGTTTATAATTCCTCTAGTAATACTGTAGAATAAGAATGTAACGGTGTTCTAATGGTTGGTGGTTCTATAAATTGTAGGTTTATAATTCCTCTAGTAATACTGTAGACAAGGAATGTAACGTAACGGTGTTATAATGGTTGGTGGTCCTGTAGAATGCAGGATTATAATTCGTAAAATAGGAACTGTAAAATAGGAATGTAGCAGTTTCCTGATAGTTTTAATGAGTAAGGCGACGATATATATATACAGATGCTAGTGGTTGATGATTTTAAATAATAGAACGATATACCCCCAAATTGCTTTTATTTTGCCCGTTAAAGCATGAAACTTGAAAGTACCCAAAGATAATATTGTGTAAGACTACATAATCGCCAATTATTGGTATATTTGTAGATTACATTCGAAATATACGTTCATTAATCACCGACAAGTGACCTTATGAAGTAAATTATTTACTTGCTAGTGGGTCGTAATTTTTTAATATGCGTACATACAGTAACTTGTGACTGGCAGTTCTATGAATTAAGGAGCTTATAAGTGATAATGCTTTGATGCAAGACAGTACAGTAGCTTTTGACTTTGATAAGTGCTTATTTGAGGTGAAATTATACAGTGACTAAAGGATAGTAGATATAAAGAATGGTGTTCTACTATAAATAGTGACTGGTGGTTTAATGTTTTAGTTTTCTTTGGTCACTTGGATTGTTTTTAATTATACACAAATATACACAAGGGCTATCTGTGCTCTTCCCAAAACGGGTATCGAAACCCGGTTTCTAGCGTTATGAGTCTGCAGACGTCCCGCTGTGGCACACTGGAGGGGGGGTGCTAATTATACCATCAGAATTACTTGATGTACGAAGTATTTTTCTCTGATGTTTACTGAAAGGGTTTTATGTCAGCAGAAAAAAAAAGTATGGGAGGGATTGAATTTTTAATGCTACCGCATGCCCACGTGAGCTAAGCAAACAGGTCAGAAACACCTTGCTCATTCAGCAAAGTGGTAGAGTTTGTTATTTTCTTGTTTTATATCCATATCACTATGATCAAAACGTACGTCTTCGTAACCCGCTTGTAAAACTACTTTTTTTTTACTCGTTTTGTCTTATCTTAAAGTCATGAACGTAATTCTTGGTAAAAGGTAAATTTTCTAAGATCCGTTGTTTTGATATGGGGATAAAAGCTAGTGATAACATTTCACAATTCTACAGTTTTGAAAACATTAGTCGAAAAGTGTTTTTGTTCTAATGCTTCAAAGCCTAATTTCTTATCCCAGTAAGGCTCCACTTTAGTTTGTGAAGATGTTAAAGTTATTTAATGTTGCCTGTAAATGAATAAAGATATGTATCATACTAAAATGGATATTTCATGATGAAAGATGACTTGTTTTCAGCACGATAGATAACGTTTAATGAATTATGTAAATTGGATTAGCTGCGAGCAGGTGTTTTTAACTTTTTCTTTTCTTTAGATGACAAGATTTATATTTCGAGTAGTTGAAGTTAAAATAATTTCGTTTTGCTTATTTTAGTGCTGCGGCACGTAGCATTAAAAGTCAATTTTAAAACAAATTTAACGAATAGTGTATCTTATCAATGCAATGCACATAATAAATCAAGTATATAAGATCACCGTGAAGTGTTTTATTTGTCAGGTATTTTTTCGCGTTCAAATTTATGAAGTACGTAAAATGAATGTGTTTATATTTTTTGGCATGGAACTCACGGATATTTCAAGAGAAAATTGTATTTAATATTGGTGCCCCTAGTGGCTTAACGCTAAGCTTTAGGATTATTAACGCTAAAATTTTGGATTTGATCCCTAAGGAGGACACAGTGCAGATAGCCTAGTGAGCACCTAACCCCTTAACAACAAGCAAACTATTTAACATTGGTTCATATATAACTCATAAATAATGTGTGTGATATTGCGAAAATCAAAGCTGTATTTGGGGTAATGTTTAACGTTATAAACAAAAGAAATATAAAAAGTTAAATATAGTTAAAGGAAATATACTGTCTACTTAGGCATATGCTCTATTCTAATTTAATATCCTTAATAAAAGCACAGAATATTTTTCGTTCGTTACAAGAGCCCCCCAGTGGCACAGCGGTATGTCTGCGGACTTACAACGCTAGAATCCGGGTTTCGATACCCGTGGTGGGCAGAGCACAGATAGCCCATTGGGTAACTTTGTGCTTAATTACAAACAAACAAACAAACCGTTACAAGAAAATACGAAAATAAAAAAAAAACGTGTATTCCAAGGTTCAGGAAATAGTTTCGTATGCGTGTGCAGGTAGGAAATCTGGGCGCATAACAATTTGTTTTTTTTTTTTTAATGGCAGGAAACAAAGAAGAAACAATTCCTATGTTGATGTTGAACCATTCTGACAGTAAAGAAGATTCCCTGCCCAGGACCAGAAAGTCGAGTAAAACGACAGAAGAAATCCTGCCCAATAACAGAAAACCTAGCAACCCCATGGAAGACCTTACTAAAAATAAAAAATTGAGCAACGTGACAGAAGACAATATCTCCAAAATTAGAACACAAAGTGTTGTGGCAGAAGACACTTTAACCAAAGTCCGAAGACAGAGCGTAGCAGCAGAGCAGGCTGGTGTGGCTCGAACCAGGAGACCCAGCTCAGCAGCTGATAAATCATTCACAAAACTTGTAGACTTGAATCCTGCATTAGCAAAGCCTGGAAATGATCATAACCTCGTGTCTTTTAACCAGAACTCAACTACTGGAACAAATGGTATATTTATATTATACTATTATTATTGTTATATTATTTCTTATTACAACTTTATTTCTCTAATAATTTTTTTTAGAAACGGTGTATTTAATCAAAATATGTTCTTTCTTACACCTACTCGGTTTCTTCGTGGAAAAACAACTAGTAGGGACTATAAATGGCATTGTAAGTTACTGTTTGATATTTTCCACCTTTTAATGATGATTTTGATACAAAATCAATATAAAACAAAAGTTCCTACGTAAACTTTTTTTTTTCATTTTTTCTTCTTTACATTCTAGATAACATTGTAAGTGATAGTGTTAGATAAATTAACACTGTAATAAATAAAACACTTAATTCTTACATAAAAGTAAATGGAAATAATGCATTGAATTACGTTTACATAATATATCTATTCAAGAACTTGGCAGTATCTTATTACTGGGTTTCATTTTGGAGGATATAATTTATAATCTGTATATCTAATCGCTTCACCCCTGGCCATCCCCGTGGCGTGGGACTATATAGGTTAAAAGCCCTGGTCCTTTTTTAAATTAATTTGAAATGGTTGAAATGTGGTAGATTACAAGTATATGTGGTGCTTTACATTGACTCACTATTGATATGGTTACATTAGGGGACTTCAAAACATGACGTTCTCCTAGTGCACGATTATAAGAGCCTGCAAAGCAAAAAATATTTGTATCTCCAAGAAATAAATATATGTAGTGTTCAACAGTATCGGTGAAACAAGGGAAGGTGTGATTACGCAAGTTACTCCAAAACCACTTATTAGATACGTAGTCTGGAGATGGTTAAAAAATGTAAATAGCTTGTCACCAGAAGTAACTGAGGAATACAGCAGTCCATTGCAGCTAAAGTAGGAACCTTATTGGAAGAGTAAACAATGTAATTCACACGGATTTAGATGTACAAAATCGACACAAGAACCGTGTTCACAAACTTTTCCCAAAGCACATAACAGAAAGAAAAAAACAGCTGTTGAAAGCTGTACGAGCGGTACTTGATGTGTGATAAACGGAAGTATGTCGTCATATGTCTACTTAAGTGTGTGCAAAAATCTGGGTAGTTTATTATCGTTCTCTTGCTGATATGACACTTCAATACATACTAGGTGTATATATGTATATATATATATATATCTCCACTTCAGTATATTACAAAAGTTTTCAACTAGATTTCTGGTGGTTGCTGGTTATATATATATATATATATATGTATATATATATAATGGTTTAGTTAAATAACCAGAGTGTCGAGAAAAATACCAAGATGAATTCAACACATTATCAGGATAATAACGCACTGATACCATTATATTGCAATTAAATACATATTTGTACGGACTGTATGCTGTATGTTATGGCTCCATCAAGACAAAGGATACAAACCAACATATCAGTTTCTCCACAAAGTGCATGTACACATTCGCACACATCTCCCATGTGCTTTTGTGTCCCTTGAAAATTTCCGTTCGCACATGGATGATGAACTTTTGAAAGCATTTGAAAAAGTGGGAGAACAAAATTGAACCAATTATATTGCACAAAAGCCACCTACAATAGAAACTGTGCTGCATAGCAATAGCCAGAGCCCTCGTGGACACTCCTATCTAAATTATTTTTACTACTATTTGGTTTCATGTATTTCCCGATGTTGTTAACCACACACATGCATCAAACACTGTATAATACTTATGTTGATCAGTGGGTCAGTCAAGGTTAATTAGGCTATGAACATTTTATCTTTCAACTATTCTGAACCAAATATTGGCCTCCTTTTCAGCAGAAGGTGATAAACAAATAATATCGGCTAAGTTAGAGAATAACGTAATTGACTTTTTGGTTATTTCAAAAAGTAACAGTTTCTTCAGAGCTCAATGTTCAATCCTCATGTATTCAGTTTCTTGGAAAACGTTACCCAGCTGAAAACATCGTTGACAAAGGAAGCTGTAAGTGATGAAATTGGCTCTGATAAACTACTGATTAATTTCACAATTTATATTGATGAAGACAAATGAAAAAAGTATAAAGAACTGTAATTTTGAACACTTAAAACGATACTCCTTTATCCTTTTGATAAATCCAGTGTTGGCCTAAACCGAACCATGGAGGTAGAAATTAATATACTTATTTTACAAGTTATAACGTTAACGAATGTAATTCTGCAAGTCTTCAATAATCAGTCATTTTTATACTTAAGTAAACGAAGAGACAGAAATTACAACATTTTAGATCGTAATTAATTTTGGATTTGTGTGCTGTTTTGGACTTTAAATAATCAGTATAAGTAAATATGATAAGTTATTTAAAAATACATTTAACAATTTTTAGTAATGTCGGGGCTTGAATCTCGTGGAAACGTTAGAAAACTCTTTAATAAAGGGAATAATTGTTATATGGCTGGATGACAACCCAAAATTTCACAAGGGAGATAAATTAGTTTATAAGTGTGTTTCGACCTCCTTTGGTCATCATCAGGTTAAGATGATGATGACTCAAGGAAATCGAAACGTTGTTACTTGTTTTGTGGTTTTAATACCCATATCATCCGTCTCTATATATACGTGTTTTTAGATACTTTTAACCAAGCACTAAACTATCTCCCTAAATATTTTCCAAGTTTTTAACCAACTTGGATTAATTGTTATAATTTTTATATTGTGTCGTTGCTTGTCAAATGCTCACCAGGTGTTTTGGGTACATATCCATATAAAATTAGCTTTGTTCCCTTGTGACTTTCTATATATACCTATCTATCTATCTGAACGTTGGGTAAGCACTGTTTTATGCTTCCATAAATGGATTAACCAATAATTTCAAAAGTTATAATTATATACTTAAAACGATAATGGCGTTTCATAATTTCCCTTCTCAATGATTTAATTTAACTGTAGCTTTAAAAAAATGAAATTGCTTATTTTATTTTCTGTTGAGCTTGTATGTTTTCTAATTTATTGTAAATATATTATCGTGTAGTTTCAAAAGTTTCTTCAACAACGTTCTAATAGTGTGTATATATATATGTATATATATATACATATATATATAAACTAATCAATTTTTGACTTTTCCTAGTTCAATAAATTGGTTCGATCTTCACTTTAATTATTTATGTATATTTCTAAAAATGTGAATTATAGTGCCCTCTACAAACAACCGAAACATGATATACAAAAAAATTCTATATTGTAATAAATTGAGTTTTTTAAAAAACAATTAGACTTATTTCTACATTTCTTTCACGTTTGACGAAAATTTTGAAAATAATGGTGACGAAGGGTAGCACCGTTTGTTGTTGATATAAATCCTGACCCACAAATAGTCGTAATTAATTAAAAGGAAATAAGTCATGGAGGATACAGCTGTGATACAAGATGACATAATAAAATTATATTTAATTAATTCTAAAAAACGCTTTGCGCAATTTGCTCATAAATATTTCAATGATTTACCATTAGATTATATGAGTGATGATTTACAAGTATGCTTTATACTTAAAGCCAATAATGGAGATTTCTTTGTCTTGTGGTTTATTTAGAAAATATGATATAAAAGAATTGAATTTTTCAAAATAGTTTCAGTTTCGATTAATGTATCAATATTCGTGTAAAAAGTAGCTTAATCAATACACTTGTTTCCTTTTTCAATATTCTATTATACTTACAATTCTTGTTTTGAGTAGGTTACCCAGAAACCAATGGAGTTAGCGGAATGGACATCACCACAGCGAACAATAACAGTTCAACATCTGTTACTTTAGACAACTTAATACAGTTTAATGATACTCCTACTCCAAAGGTTCCACCATCAATAAAAACATCTCCTTCGTCCTCATCCAGCACTGCCCTTACCACAGCCGAGGCGTGAAGATTGAGCACTGCTTCTGTCTTTCTTTGTTTCTTGCCGAGACCAGCTATATCTTACATTCATAGACAAGTTGTTTCTGCCTATGGTAAGAAGGAACATTTAGGCTTCGTTAACTAGAAGAAACTTATCGATAACCAAACGGTAAACCAGTATACAATATTGGCAACGTAATAAAGAGAAAGTGTCACGATTCCTGAAGATAGGGTGGCGATTTAGATATATGTATATATATATATATATATATATACATATAGCTATTATTATATATATGAGTGTATATATATATATGTATATCTTCGCTGATCTTATCATATTCAATTCAATTATGTAGTAATACATTCTTCACTAGATGACTGTAACACATTTGTGTCAAGCAAATATTTCAATTTTGTGTATCGTGCATGAAATGAAGCCAGAGAATTTGATTGGTGTAGACTATTAACGCCAGAAGACGCCTTCGTTGCACCTGCATGTTTCTTGGTTTGCACGATGGACGACAGAGCATAATTTGGATGCATTATATGTAGTGAATATTCCACGTAGTGGAAGGCATCGGCTGCCAAACTCTACAGCTCAGCCTTTTGCCGAACCGGATGTAGCTGAGTTCTAGAGGTGATATTATGCACAGCAAATATTCGTATTTTAAATTAACGATAAGTATATAATTTTTACAATTCACCCATAATTACCCCTCACAGCCCAAATTTCTTCTTAAATCTCATGCCACCCTAGACATATATTAACCTATTATCCTCCTTTTACAACTCCAATGTCTTTCTTAAAAAGCTTCTCTTTCCAAAAAATATTACTGGAAAAGAAGTAGGTAAATAATAAAGGGTGTTGACGTAGTTATTGTACATTTTGATGCATTTGAAACTCATCTTGCTAGAAAGGAATATCAAGTTTTATATCATATTATACACATAAGCGACATATGTCACGTTATGATATGCTCTGCAAAAATTATCAGGTATTGACTCTTTAAAAATCTTATAGAATATATTGCATGTCTAGTTAGAATTGCTTTGTAAATTTCTTCGTCACACTTAATGCCATCGGTTGACAACTTTAAGATAATATATTTTTTGATGAGATCGACAACTGTTCCATGGAAGTATTGCTTAATTGCACACTTAAATGAGTTATCTCTAACTTTTATCATTTCTATAAGTTCTAAGCGGTGGAAAAGTTTTAAAATGATATTGAGTTTCAAGGAATTGTTTTGTCAAACTGAAAATAGGAAAGGGAAATTCTTTTGGATAAAGGGAAAATATATTTGGGTGAAAAAATATTTCATCTGATTTTCTGCACAAGAATTGCAAGTTTAGTATGCGCTATAAGGGACTGTAATTTTTGTTGTTGTTGTTGTTTTGTGGCTAGTGTGCCTGGAATGTGAATCAGATGATTCACGGCTCGCGTCCCCTTGCCGCAAAAATGCCCTCCACACTTTGGGGCCGTAGGGATGCTATAAAATTAACTGGTCAAATCTTACCATTTGATCATATAAAAGGAGCCCAAGAGTTAGCGATAGGTGCTGTTTACTAGCTGCATTTCTTTTAGTCTTTCAGTTCAAAAATTGGAATAGTTATGCGCAGATAGCCCATAGTGATGTTTTTCACGAAAGTCTAAAACAAGCGACCAAACACATTTTTTTGTTATGTTTTGTTTTTCAAAATACCGAACGATAGCTTGCTATACATATTGCATATAAAAAAGTGTACATTTATGTTACATTTATGACAACTACATTGTATTAATGCAATGTTTAAGTTGTGTTAAACTAAACTACCAATATGCCTACACACCCGGGAAGAGCCATATCGTTTTGTTAGAAATAATGCTGCATATAGCAGAAAGTAAGCTTAGAGTGGAATACGTGTTGATTGCTTTGCAATGGCTTTAAATCTTATGAAAAAAATATCTGTTTCATAAAGTATTCCATTGTAACAAAAACTACATTATTTTTCTATGTTGTTTTATTTTGGTTTTGTTACGTAACAATTTAGTTAACTTTCCCCTACTTTAAGATATAGAAAAAAACTGATAATCTGTCTACTCATCTGATTAAAACTTTTGCTCTTCCAAAGGATTCAATTTCCAATCCATTAGATTTGGGTGAGGTAGTTTTATTGCGGACTTGTTCATTTTAAAGTTTATTATAATTTGCATCGTAAAATGTAATGCATTTTTCTGCTTCTATTTTAAAGAAGCTTGGAAAACTACGTTCGAAAGTGACATTAGTAACATTAAACTAATTAATGCTTTAGCAACTACAATGGGCCTTTAATTCTTAATGTGTATATGAATGTGTTTAATACCGTAGTTTCATCCACTGTTGACTTTATAGTCACAATACTTCTTTAAAAATTCAGATTTATTACACAGTTCAAAAAAGGTAGGAATATTACATATCTAGGACTGACAATAAATGGCACTAAGTGTGATGAGTCATTATAGTAGCGATTCTTTAACATCTATTATCAATGAAAACGTTACTTAAGTGTTTTACAAAAATATTGTAATGTATATCGTATCAAGTAATCTTTCTGGATACTTGTGTTGTAGAATTTCAAAGAAAAAACGAAACAAGTTTCATTGCACCTTTTGATAATCGTACACATATTCATGCGCCAGAGAATTCGATTTTACATCACAGAAAATGAAAGGATCTTCTTCAGAGTGCCTGAGTTTATATCACATCTAGATCACGTAAGGATCTTCTTCAGAGTGCTTGTGTTTACGTCACAGTTAGAAAACGTAAAGATCTTCAGTGTTTTTTTTTGTTGTTGTTTTTTTTTTACATCACAGCCAGTAAACGCTAGGATCTCCTTTATAGCATAGGTATTACAACATAAAGAATTCGATTTACTTCACTCGAGTGTTCTAGGGTGTTGATGTTGTAGTGTTGTGCAATATCCTCAGGGAGCAAAATAGCAGATGTAACGTACATGTATTGGATACTATCAACAGGATGACACAACATGAGACGAGAAAGAACACCTGCATGTACTAATTTTGTACACTGGTGTCAGTATTTTACTACCTTGTATTACAAACTAAATTAACAGCTTGTTTTGAGAATTAACTAAGCCTTGAGTTTGACGCTGTTTGTCACACACACACACACACCAGTGACTATTCAACCGAACCCGAACTTTCAAACTAATTATTATTTGTTCCATGTATTAATTCCGTTTTTTGTGGCTGTTTTTTTTTCTTGTGTCTCTAAAATACATCTACTTCTTAAATACCTGGTACTGTTTTTCCCAAAAATTCAATGTGCATAAAGAGCAAAAAAAAAGAGCCTTACCATTGTCAGTTTTATTTGCTCCACCCGTAAGATCTGACTATTTTCCATGAGATTATAAGATAATAAAATTTCAAATTCCAATTCTGCTTTGTTAAAATTTAACGTGTTAAGTAAACGCCTATTCTTTACCACTTTATTATCTTATTGTATTAGTATTTATATTATTAGAATGGTTGCTTAAGAAACACAATTATTACGTAAACCAATCTAATCTTCGTAGCCAGACATCATTGGCATAGCATGTTGTATAATATTTCTTTAGAAAAAAAATAGCAAGAGACATGTTTTGTTAATTCATTAAAAGCTTATATTATCTGCTAGGAAAAGTTTATTGCAGTTTGTTTACATAAAGTATGTATACATATGTATATATATATATATGTGTGTGTGTGTGAGAGAGAGTATATACACACACATATATACATATATGTATATATTTATAGAATGTAAAACGTTACTACTGAATAAATACTGATTACCACCATATTAATTACTAGGGTTAAATTATTTTCTTTATTGTACACTTATTCACAGATTAACAAAATCAAAACCTGTTTAAAGAATCCGGTTTGGGTTCCTTTCTTTTTTCTTTTTTTTTTACACTTTAAGCAGGAAAGAAAAAAAAACTAAAACGTTTATAGCATTACTAATTACTTGGCTCACTGAACGTTTTTATACAGACAGGCTGTAAAATCGAAGATTTTAATAGATTTTCAGCCGCGTCAATGTAACCGAAATGAAGAGGCCACGTGCAGATATTATAACTGTTAAGTATTTAGCTTACTTTATACATCTCTCGTGGCTCCACTTTAGTGCTTATAACGTTAAAATTCAACGTTCGATCCCTGCGGTTGACATAGAAACAGCAAGAAAAGCATGTAAAATTGCTCTCAAACAAAATTGTGAAATCCAAGAAAAGACATTACTTTGAATCTTATCACATACCGTCAGAGGTGGTACTATTGCCATATAGACAAAGAATGTTACCGAAGAATAGATATTTAGTGTTTTGAACATCGATTTTGAAATTAGTTAAAACGGTATGTTTGTTCCAGCTACTGTTATGATCATTGCATAAAATTATGATTATTCTCATTTATAATTGTTACAGACAATTCTTTCTCAAAATTACTAGATTTTATTTCTAGAACTTGGTTAAAAACCTACCTGATGATGACAAAACCTTGTCGAAACGTTGTACATTTGTTGTTATGTTAAACTTATATTAAAGTTTTTCTTCATTACCCATTCAAGCCGTCTCCAAGCATTACATATTTTCTTATGTTCATCATTAGCCATTGGATGTAGAACTCTGGAAAAAAGCGTTTCAGTTAGCCTTATCAATTTCTGTCAGTTTGATCTTTTGACAAGATATTGGTAGCTTTATGTCCACACCAAAATAAAATGAAAAATATGTAAGTTAAGTTGATGGCCATACGTAGTATACTGCATCTAAATGCATACAAAATATCTATTTAACTAAGAAAGACGAAATATTTTTACTTGTCAAGCACACAAAAAACAGTAATTATTATCATTCTAAAGTACTTAGGCCTACTTCCACAAAAGTTTAAATAAAAATATATAACTAAATAAAACAATAACGCTCCTTCAAAAAAATAATTTTTTTAGCTACCATCAATACTACATAGTAAAAATTTGTAAAACAATTTTACATTCTTAGTAAATTGTCTACATTAGCAGTAACAAAACATATTTTATCGGTGGCTACATTATCAGAAACAAAACATATTTTATTGGTGGCTACATTAGCAGAAACAAAATATACTTTATCGGAAAACATAAAATATAACAAACTTTTATTGTAAAACTTGTACATCCTTGACAAAAATAAAATATTATAATATCAGAAAAAAAAGATAAAAAAGGATGATCAAATAATACTAGACCAGTTTCTTCAAATTATGTAAATATAATGATAAGTCAGAGAAGAAATATATAGTTCAGCCATTCTAAATACATATTCGTGATTAAATTAGACGAATCTGATCAATAAGTATTTAAGTTTTGTTTTTAAAGCTTTACTGTATTATTTAATAAACAAGTTGCAGCACATTTTCAAAATGTTATAGATATTACCTTTGATAAGAAAATTAATCTAATTTTAAATGCACTCCTAGCATACAATGATATACTTAACGTGACGGTCGAAAGTATGCATTTCCAATGTGTGTGTGTGTGTGTGTGTGCGGAAATGTATATTATACCTACTAAGTCCCACAGGTCCTCCAGCGGGTTAGCGGTAAATTATAGACTTACAACTCTAAAATCCGGGGTTCATTTTCTCGCGGTAGACAGAGTGGAGATAGTCCACTCGGAATAAGACTTGTACCCTTACAATGAAAATTGAAAATACTGTGTTAGTCTTTAGTAAAATAGGTTTAGTACTTTATGATGCAACATCACAAATCCTCTTTGATATATGATAATTTACTATTTGTTGCTTCATGTTAATAGTTAATGAAATTATATTTATCTGTAATAAATTCAACTCCATATTGTTGCGTATCTGCTTGTTTGTTAATTCCCGGTAAATATTCTTTCCGATGAACTTTA